GGGGTGTCTAGGCCCACTTTCTCAGCGCCCAGTGGTCCCTCATACTGCTGATTGTCAGCAGTCGGTAGCGGTACGCCGGAGGCTGCAAGATGATCTCGGAGAGCCTGAGAGGCTTTTTGGAAAGCGGTTAGGGAGTAAGCAGCTATGATTAAGGATGGTCCATCATGAATGGAATACGTTGTGTGCCAGCGGCGGGCATCCAAATAGTGAGGTTGCAGAAGCTTCAACAGCGTGGTGTGACCTACTTTGTACTGGGAAGGGGCTACCTCAAGTTGCTCAAGAGGACCTTGCACCAAGTCTTTTACCCAAACCTCAGTCCAAATGGTAACGCCTTTCTTGGGAAGCTTAAGGGTCACGGGGAGGTTACTACCTGGGCAATTGCTGGCATCTCTATGGGGGGGTATACTAGTACTGGCAACCAAAGCCAAGGAGGTGTACCTGAACGCGGGATCCACAGTTTCCACCATCTTGACCAACAAAGCAAGAAACCCCGGAAAACGCCCTGAAGCTCGAGTGACTCCCAGAATCCCTCCGTGCCTATACATTCCGAAAACACAATGGATTTCTGACCGTCCCTTGGAACCCCGAAGTTGAGCTGCAGCGGCTTTGGACCCCCAATGTGACTTGCAGAGGAAGCTTCGCGCCCGGTGCAGGTCAATGACGGGTGCTTTAGCTATTAGACTTGCTTGGCGATCCTCAGCTTGAAGCATGTCCTCAAGACTAACAGTTCTAAGGCTTCGACGGGGAGGTACTTGAGGCATTACTTGAAGCTGAGGAGCTAGGGGTCATTAGATCCTACCGGGCTGTCCAACTCTGAGGCATCCGCGCAGGCAACTGGTCCTACCACATCTTGGAGTGGGGCAAAGGTGGATTCCACAGGTAAGCTAGAGCTAGACTCCAAAGCCATCACCGCGCATTTGGACTTTCCCTTGACCCTATGTGACGGCGCAGGAAGCACTGGGGCTGCATCAGCGGCTTGATCTCTCTCTCTCAACACAGCTGGCTCAGGACATGTCAACACATCCCTATGCAGTACCGAAGTTGCCAAGTATTCACCATCCACGGTCCGAACGAGCCAAGAACCTGCTACATCCCTAGCCGGGGCCAACAAGGTCGCTTCCACCACCTTTGGTTCATGTGCCTTGGCTTTCCAAGATCTCTGCTTGACGAACATCTTTGCCCCGAAGGGAAGCATTTCTTTAACTGATGCACCGCCCATGTCTATGAGTGTGCGTCGCAACAGACTCTCAACACCCCAGCGCCAAGCATATGGCCAATCCCCTGGAGGCAGGCTTGCGCTGCGAAGAAGCGTAGTGGTTAATCCTTTTATCCTCCCTATAGCAGCCTCAACCCTCCCGTTACGACGGAAATCATCAGCACCGGTCGTGCTCCAAGCTATCCCACGCTGGGATGACCAACGTTGCACTGAGCTAGCTTGAAACTCCATCCCTTTGTCGGAGTGGATCCTTTTGACCTCAAAACCCATGGACCTTAGTTGAGCTTCCATCCGCTGAATACCCAACAGAACATGTGAGCAATCTTTGGAGGGGAGCAATTCCGTGAAGGTCAACTCTCTAGTCGGCAAGCTGATGAGCAGATTCTTGGTCACCTCGTCAGGCGGCCTCTCTAAGGCCTTCCCCTCTTTATCCGCTACTTCTTCTGGGGCGTCTGGAACACACCACTCCAAATCCTCAGCAAGACCCTCACCTCCCAGGACCTCTTCAGGACACCAGACTCCCGCCCCTCCGCAACATTCTCCTCCGCAACGACCCGCTCACCCTCCCCGGCTCTGCTTCTTGGCCCTTATCCTCTTTGGCTAGTCGCTCCCTCTCCTGCTGCTCGAGCTTGGGAAGATTGGCTACCACAAAAACGCCAACTAAAGCATATCGGATCTTAGGGAGGCGCTCGTCCTTGCCGGTTTTGAATGGTCCTGCCAAGTCTAAGGCCAACACGCCAGTATCAGCCACAGGCTGGCGCCGATGGGGCCGATCTCGTGATCTACCCTCTACACAGGCGCGACACCGCTTCCAGTAAGGCTGATGGCCGTTCTGGATATGCCGCCGCATGCGCTCCTCATCTCCATGCAAAGCTTGAACGCAGGCCTCAGGTTGGCTTAGATGCTTATCAACCTGGTCCTGTCTCACTTTCCATGGGACTCACCCACTTGGTAGCTGCTTCCAACCAACCCAACGTGAGATTAGTACCCAACTGAGTGGGCTTGACCCTGGGGTGACCTAACGGACCCTGATTCATGGTGATTCGCCTCAATCCAAGATGCCGCGCAAACACATCCCACTCAGGCATGGCGAAGAGTGAAGGTAAGTCTGAGGCCGGAACGTAAAGTCGCCTGTCCTGAGGTCGTCATTTGACAGCTTAGCCACAATGCCCAAAGCCATGGTCCTTAAGATTAAGACATTGTCGCCTTCCACTTTCATGGACTCCGTCCCCGAAATGTTGGCTCGCCCCCACCTACCGGGACCCAAGCGATCTCGAACTATTGGAGGACCACCAGGGTACGTACGGCAAACCGAAAGGGTTCTACATGGGGGACCAGCCAGGAGGATTTTGACCCTACCCTGAATGGCAAGAGCCAGCAGATAGGAGAACGTGGTGTCCAAGGACAGATCCTCGTCAAGATCTATATCAAGCAATGCCATATGATTCTTATCGGCCACTGAACGAAATCTTTCACGGGAGCAACCCGCAAACAGGTTAATCAACACCCCTTGCTTAGCCTTCAGAAGTGCCCGCCGCTTCCTTCGATTCCACGGGCTCTTGGCCCCATCCGTCTCAGGAGCTGCCGCGACCCTATCAAGAAGGTCTACCGGGGCTTCAGGAAACATCTTTTCCAGCCAAAGCCGAACCAAACCCAGTGTATCCTGACCCTGAGCACTTTTTTCTCTAATGATACGGAGAAGATCATCTGGGGGAAGATCGAAACCCTTGGCTTTCAACTCCCTGACCTGCTCCTTGGCCACTTGTGCCTGGTGCAGGTGCTGCTCGATTTCCTCTATCATGCGTATGGCGCAGTCATGATCAACCTCAGGGCAACCACCATCTAGTGACACCGCTATCTTTCGACCCTTTTTATCCTTTAGTTGAACCCCATTAGCAGTCCATAAAAGCTGACACCCAACTCGAACCAACAAACCCAATGACACAATGGGCGACACTGGTCCCTCGACCAGCGCCGTCCCTTGTCGATTGACCTTCATATGAGCAGAACCCACGGCCAAAGTGACTTCCTTTTGTTCACATTCCTTGAGCTCCTTAACAGTCCCCGTACGAAGACATACTGAAGCACCGGAATCGAGAAGACCTGTCTTCCCCCCTTCCTGTGGTGTAACCTTGAGCACCATCCCCGGAGGGCAAAGTCCTCCCTCTACAGCTGAACCCCTAACATCCAGCTCTTCTTTAACCCACTTTTTGGCTTTACGCATCGCCCGCAATGCGAGCGAGCTTAGCGGTTCAGTGGCTTCCCGCAACAACTCTGCTTGGGCTTGGGACTGGCCCCCTACGCTTGGAGCCTGAGAGCTAGACGCGCTGGCCATCGCGTCTGGCGCCGTACCGGCCCCCGGTGTTGACTCGGATCCCACTCCAGGCTCGGCAGCTTGGGCCTTACGAGCCGCAGCCTTTCCCTTAGCTTTCGCGCCTGGAACTTCAGCCCGAACGGCCTCCGAGGAGCTTTTTCCTCCTCCGGCCTCCTTATAGGGGCACATTGATTTGCTATGCCCTTCCCCAGAACACCGGTAACATCTACCGCTGTCCTTAGTGACCGGCGGCTCGTGCAGGTATCGACACTTCTGTCCCCACTTGCAGCCGCCTTTTGAAAACCAATACTTGCAAGCCTTCTGCTTTGGATCAGCACTTCCCCCCGCCTTCCCACTCCCTTTTGGCTTCCTCATCATGAGCATCAAGCTTAGAGATTCGAGCATTCCGCGGCCCCTTGCCGGTCCCCACCAGCGATTGCTAGCATGGCGAACTCACTTTGCAGCGCCTGCGCGAAATCCTTTACGTTAGAATGAGTTGGAGCATGGTCTAACGTCAACCTCGTTCTCACAACACTCATGCGAAAGCTCACTTGATGGTGCTTGGAAAGCTGGGCACTGCTCAACACATCTATCCCCTTCATTAGCACTGATGGATCTGGAATGGAAACTCCCATTGACGCAGCACGAGCGTAGTGCCTTGTCCAGGATCTCAGCTTGTCTACCACGTCCTTAGGATTGGCGCCTATGCCTGGGCTGCAGAGAGCCTCAATTAGGCGAGACCTCTCTTGCAGTCCGCCAGGCTGATAAGTCTTTAAGATAAGGAACAAGGTTGACAGGCAGTCAAGCGTACGTTCAGCGAGGAGTTCCTCCGATATGCTTCGGGGGAGACTTGCGTGAATCATGGAGAACGCTCGACTCTCCAATCGGGAGTACTTGTCACTACCTAGCTCAGGACCAGGGGTCGCACGGATAGATGCCCTTTCGATAGCTGGAGTTTGTGCCCATCCCTCATAGGCCGCCCTGGCTTCATGAACTAGCAACGCCCACCAATCTTTGGACCCTAGGCTTAAATCTGCCATAATTACTGTGACCTAGCGATCCAATCAGCCGCCGTCACTGCAGCATCTTTGTCCGGTTCAGGCAGTTTCGGAACCGACCACCAAACCCGATCCCCAGGCGTATACCTATCCTTCCCCTCACCCTCCCTTGTCCCACCCTTGGGCAAAGGCGGAACGCTGGAAGCGGTACCGACACGACTTGTGAGTGAGTCCTGGAGGGCTACTAATAGGTGTTGGTGGTGGAGAGCTTTTGGGAGGTCTAATCTCGGTTCCACCGGGGCTAACAGGGTACACAATCTTTTGGTCGAACAGGGGTAACGGGGTCCCTTGAAACATGCTGAGTTCTAGGAGGTGAGTCAACAGTACTGCGCTTAACCCTTTCAGCACGCTCCTGACCTAGGCCTACCAACCCTTCCCTAGCATGCAGGACTTCCGCTACTGACTAAGGCTCGACGCGCCAAGCTCCCTTGACCGACTGGCTCGGAACGAGTCTCCTGCATCTCAGCTTCGAACTCCTTGATTGATTGTCTCCTAGGTTCAGTGGCTGCAGAGCCAGGCATATCCTCAAGGCTACGTTGGGCAGGGGATCGGTAATACGCTCGGGTCCTATACGGGCTCCTACGCTTGTGGGGGCTTGGGGTCCTACTAACCTCCCTAGGCCCTCTACGTAAACTAACCCTATCCCCTTTACCTGGCAAACTCTGCAGAACCCTTTCGAAGGGTGACGTTGCTCTGCCAGAGAAAACTTGTCCAGCAGTCAAGGTCTGAGATTTAGTACCCCCAGCTAATCCCAAAATCAGCATAGCCACGAGACAGCTGAGCAGGCAAAGCCGGAGGATCACTCTTAAAGCCTTGGGGGAAACTCCAATCTAGTGCGCTAGCAGGGACTCCCAAGCTACCACTACCAGCAACATGGGAAAACACAGACGCATCAGCTCTTGCACTAGCAGCTTGCTTCTCAGCCGGTTGGCTCAGTACTTCTCCTCCACGATGAAGTCCAGCAGTGGCGTGAACGCCCGACATTCGTTCTGACTGAGCTCTGGCAACCTCCATCTGCTCTGTGCGAGCCATCAGCAGCACTTGACTGTTCATCATCTGCTCCATCCACGGTTGCATAAGTTGAGCGACCACGGTTCCCAAAGCTTCAGCAGGCACCATAGCTGTAGCTCCCGAAGACGAAGCAGCCGGCATTGCCACGCCAGACGGACCTAGTGGTCCATCTCGCCCAGCTTGTTCAGCCATCCTTCCAGGAACTTCAGTTCTCAGCAGTGACTGGTAGTCAGGAACTAGCTCTTGCTCATCCACCTCCATGTTTCTGAGCGCGCTCTCACTGATTGCGTCCCGCCCACTTTCAGAGGGATTGTCAAGCGCCTGAGTCACTGCCGTTGCCCACTTCGCGCCAGAGTAAGGGGCGGCTGTCGCACCTCTTTCCATCCTAGACAGTTCGCTGTGTCCAGGCGACTCCTGAAGCTGCTGCAATCGCACCTGCCGAGGCCTTGGTTCTTCCTCGTCGTGTTCTCTGGCAGACCGCAGGCTAGTACCACGCGAGCCCTCGCTGACATTCACTGTGACCTCGCCTTGTCCTTGTCTACCAGATTCTTGACTTGGGTGCAGCCCCATTCCTCCACCAAATGCCTGGTCGTAAGGAGGCTCCATATCGGAGCTACTTCCGGTTCGTCCCACTTCTAGCCGACTGTGGTCATCTACAGACGGGTCTTGCGGGAGGTCCATGGCAATCCAAAGCTTTGTACTTAGTACAGAAATCAAGTTACGGCCCTTTAAGCTAGCGCCTTTGGGCTCATAACCCGCGTGACACGAAGGTACACACGGGAGCGCGCGGGCCTTTTTCAAGAGGTGAGCAGGAAAGCGAAGTACCTCCTTGTCGTGTAGCTTTCTTCGAAGCTTGAAAAATAAGTTGTGCTACATGCATGGATTATCCTGCTGACCCTCCTTTCGAGAGCCATGATGGCCACAGGAGCGGATTAAGTCCCCGCTATGCCCAAGCCACCGTCAAAAGCATCCTGGAACATGCGCTAAATCAACTGTATCCCTTGTTGTTTTCAGCGGGAGGCGGCCGCCCCCAACCACACGCTTTGTTTAAGGCCATCCATGTTTGTCGCAATAAAGAAGCATCATCTCATCATGTTTGCAATGAGGAATGCTTATACAGATCGTGTTGTTTGCACATGGGCTGCCCCCCGTCCCCACCCCTGTCTTTCCCGCCATCCTTGCTTGCCGTGTCAAGGAAGCGTCCTGTCATCACCAGGAGGCTTCACAGATCATTTTGTTTGCAAAAGGGCGGGGGGGGCTGCGTCCGCCGCCCCAACCCCCCGCGTTTTTTGAAGGGCATCCATGCTTGACCACTGTTCGCCATCTTAGACCATTTCATCATCTTCCATGACTTTCATCATTGCTCTTCATTTTCGATGTTTTTGATCTTTTACACAATTCTTCATCACACACATCATGTTCCATAATTTTCCATCATCTTTCAGCAATTTCCATGATTTGCCATAAGGTTGTCATGTTTTTCATGATTCTTCATCATTCCTGCATTGTTTTTTTTTCATGGTTTTCGTGATTTTCACAATTTTTCATAATTGCTCACAATTTTCCAGTATTTTTCGTGATTTTCATTGTTTTTCATCACAATTTTTCATGTTTTTCATCATATTCATGCTTTTTATGAATTTTCATTTTCATGATTTTCAATCATCTTTCACTATTTTCCATGTTTTTTTCACAAGTTGTCGTGGTTTTCAAGCATTTTCAGCATTTCATGATTTGTAATCATGTTTCATGATTTTTGAGTTTAAATCGAGCTCTTGCCTGTGACTTTATAAAAAAAACAAGAGAAAACAAAAAGCATTTCAAAACAACACAGAAAAGTACCAAATTAAATTTGCGTCCGGGGTATATAGCAGGGGAACCCATGAAAATGACATGGAAACTGAGATGAGACGGGGATCTAGGGTCTATCGACATGATTTGAGATACTGTGATACTGAGCAGGCTCCAAACAAGTTAATGCTTCCGCGGGACTTCGGGGGATGTGGCGACCTGCAGCTGCTTGGCAAGCTTTATTGCAGAGTCCACTGCAATTTTTGCTGTTGTTCTCCCTATGCACATGTGAACTTTTCTCTGGAGGGGCGCGTTTTCAGGTTCAACATGCTTGGGTTGGGTGACATTGCTGTCCCCGGATTATTTCTGGCTTTCCTTGCCAAATGGGATGCTGCGCCGTGGCCGTGTTGACGACCCTGATGCGTGAGATTTTTTTGGGATGCATGTTCCGATGAGGTCAAGATGGCAGATGTTTCCAGCAAGAGCTTCGTCTACCTAAACTCCGCAGTTGTTGCGTACATGATTAGCTTGGCAACAACAGTGGCTGGGGACTGAGCAGTTGATCTCATGATGTGCACGGCTTGCCTGTACCAGAGACATCACAGCTGAGATGGTGATGATGGTTTTCCAACATCCACAGCCAGCTCTGCTTTATATTTGTCCCTTCGTGCTGATCGCTTCCTTGGCCGTTGCGATAGCACGTTGGTCCCTTAGGAAGTGTCCTCTTTGTAGGTGACATTGGAGGAATACGGGCAGTGTTCAATTTAGTTGCTTGAGGCGGCGAGCTGCCTGATTTGGTTGCCTTTTCCCTTCCTGAGGACTCAGAGGTGGGTTCAAGAGCAATTGAGAGTGGAGGCAACAGCATCTCACTGTATGCCACAGACTGACCAGCAAGGCCAAAGGGGACAACGAAGAGCACAATAGGAATGAGCCGAAGGTGAGCGAAGACGACAAGTCTGGGGTACATGAGTAGTCCCTGCTCTGAAAAAGTTCTCGCGCCATGTGACCGTGGCAGCGTGTAAGCATCCGGCTTTGCAACACCTTCTTGGTGATACAGTGCATGCTTTGCTGCATTAGTCTGCTGAGTCCCTGCTACGAGCGTGCTTGACAGGAAGCGGGCGCTGGATGGTCTGGGGGGCCTTGTGCCGGACCAGGCTCTTAGCTGCAGCGTTCCTTGCAAACCAAGCCGGGCTTCAAGTTTACATGTGCAAGACCGGGTCACTTGTGTCCATTCTTGAGCTTCGCGCATCATGACGCGATACATGCCCACAAGCTCCTTTAAGTGCAAATTTGTAGTGCTTGGTGCAACTGTGTATGGGCTTGGGGTGGCTTGTGCTAGTTTTTGTAGGATGGCTGTATATGGCCGTGTTTTTGACTTGAGCCACCTCATGTGTTGCCTTGATAAGGCAGATGGCCGAGGAAACTCGTTTAAAAGCATTCATGTCATGACAACTTGGGTAGTTTGATACAGCAAGTGTGGGCTTCGCGCATCAGCCTTTGCTGCAATGGGTGGTCCCAGCAAGATCACAGTTCAGATGATGTCTGGCGACATCACGGAAGTGTCAGCTTCAACGCTAGCAGATCTGCGCGAAGCTATCGGGAGAATGCTGCAAACCTGTCCTGAATTTGTGCGGGTTCTTCATGACGAAGCCTTGCTTGAAGAGTCGGTCGATGTCAGCAGCCTGAGGGAGGTCACGGTCACTGCCCTTGTCACGCCCAGCGTGCCCAATGTGCTGAAGGCGCTTCGCCAGTCTGGTTTCAGCTTTCGAGGCTTGAACGAGAAGTCAACATCTGCCAGCAAGACCCGAGGACTCAATGTACTTCATGCAGCAGTGATGACTGGCAAGCTCGACATTGTGCAGTTTCTTCTCTTGGAAGAAGATTTCGTTGGTGTGAATGACCTTTGCTGCGACGGCAGTGGTTACACGGCTTTGCACTTGGCAGCAAGCCATGGCTTGGTGGATGCTTGCCGAGAACTCTTAGATTGTCCACAAGTCACCCACCAAGACGAACACAGCGTGAAGGATGGGACAGCTCTGCACATTGCAGCTTCAGCTGGGCATGCTGGTGTGGTGCAGTTGCTCCTTGACAGCGAGAGATTTACGGTTGTCAACGCAGTGGTTGTGGCCGATCAATGGCGCCAGGATTGGCGTGAAAGGTATGGGCAGACTGCACTGCACACAGCTGCAAGACATGGCCGAAAGGAAATAGCACGAATCCTTCTAGACCACCCGCGGTTTACCGCAGTTAGTGCTTTTACAAAAGCCTTTAAAGATGCCTCAATGCTGGCAGACGAAGCAGGACAACAAGATACGGCCATGATCATCCGTAGTCATCCCAAGGTGCTGAAATACAGACGGGCTCAGCCATGAGACTTGCCAAAGGCCATTGATGTCTTGAGCCAGCAGTTGGAGGATCCAAGGCAATCCGCCTGCTTGCAGTGCCCCTCGAGCGAATCTGTCAAAAGCTGCGTTCACTGGCGCGCTGTACACCCAGCAGCAGGGATTTCATCCTTTGTGCGGCAGGCACATGGCCAAAATATCATCCCCAGCAGTCAAGGCACGTGGCGTTGCAGCTCTTTTGAGCCGGTGCTTAAGTTGTTTCTTGAGGTGCGGCCACTGCAAAGATACATCAGTTTGCGTGAGGGCCTCATTGCTTTTTCTTGCTGACTGCCGCAGTAGTCTTTTTGCATGTGGGGAACTAGCTGACAGTCTGCATGCGTGTTTTATTTGGCTGGCACGCCCCTGCGAGTGCATCAGGCCGGGCAACCCTTATTTGGTGACGATTATGCCCTCAACTTAGCGGACAGAGATGGTGTCTTGATGTGGTTCTGGATTGCGAAGAATCATCGGCTCCCTCATTTTTGCTTGTCAGTGCTGCGAAGTGAAAAGGCCGCTTCTGATCAACATGGCCAGTGCTGACACCTCGGAAAACGGATCAACATGGCCAGTCTTCCAGCTTCCGACCTCATGCGCAGATAGCTTAAAGAGCTGAGGCATGTGGTCCGCCGCAAGAAGCTGCAGAGTCTAAGCACATCATTACCCAGGCCCTTCTGTCAACAAGGGCTGTGTAGTAGCTGCTCTGTTGTGTTCTGCTTCTTTCTGCCATCTCAAGTGCAAACGAGGATTCTTGGCGTCTTGTCAAGATTGAGCCCGAGGTTCAGGCTTGGTTTGGTTCTCTCTTGGGTGATTACTGGCATGCTCCTGGTGGAAGGACATCGCAGACCATTTCGGCCTAGATGAGCGCATAACTGGGAAGCTACAGGAGGCCGCAGCTTGCAAGTCAGCATTGGCTTGTGGAATGCAGCAACGACTGCTGGGACGTCAGATTGTGATAATTGGCGGATGCCCATGCTGCCTGCAGATTTTGGCATGGAGGCACTGAATACGCGGCCGGATCCTGGAACAGATCTGCAGGTCGGCAATTTATCTCTGTCTCGACATGATGGGGTGTTTTTAGTACTGGCACGCGTGTTGCAATCTGTTATGGATAAATGCACAAGACGCCAGAGCTGGAGGTCATGTGGGAAATCCTGGATGAGGCCAGGAATCCGCCTGGTCTCACAATGATCAAGGCCCTGCTGGCGGCTTTTCACAAGGCCCTTCTTCTCTGAGGAGCCCAAAGCATGGACAGGTCAAGGAGATGCTTGATGGCACGTTCCGTGCCGGTGAGCAGAAGGATGCTGGCTCCTCAGGTGAGGGATGAGCGTGTTCCTGTGCAGCATGCCTGCTCGCCTGTGCCTTGCTCACGTCGAGAAGTTGCCGATAGTCAGTGGAGGTCCTACAGATCCATGCACGAACAGGACTTTTGGCTTCATCCTCTCCCGAGTTCTTCTAGTAATCCTTGCGGATGTTGAAGATCTCGCTTTCCAGACCCTACACAGTTTTTCATGGGAAGTGCTTCAAGTTCACATGCAGCAATGCCGGCCGCCCCTATGCCAGTTGCAGAGCGCCACGCCGAGTGTCCGTTGTCATTCAAGCCGCTCTACAAGGGTCCCGTTGCTCCTAGGCGGGAAGAAGCGATGTTCCGCGTTTCATGAAACTAATACTGTACCAACAACTCTCCGCCTTGGCTTCTAGGGGAGCATGCCTCGCCCATAGCTTTGTCGTAAGCGGGACAGTGACTACTTATTTGGGCTCAGCCTTCAAGAGCGCCTAAGGCCTTAAGCCCTCAAGCTCCTAAGTGCCCAAACGCCACTTGCGCCAAAAGCGCCCAATCGCCTCAGTTTAGAGGCTTAGGGGCTTCGAGGCGTGTTGGTAGCCAGACCCAGTAATCGGCTTGGCTTGTAGAGGCGTACTGCCAGCCGCCAGCGAGGATCTTGGGGGATTACAGGCTTCGAGCTTAGAGGCTTCATAGCCAGGCTCATACGAAATACAAGAGGCTTGGAGGCATATGAGGCATGCATGTCTACTCTTCCCTGAACCCTAATCTGGCTCGCAGCGGGGGATAGGGGGCTTAGGGGGTTAGTGCGAGCAAACGCTTCGCTTAAGCCGACCATTCGACTTGCGAGATCTACTTGAACCCTAACCCTGTTAAACGCCTACATCCAATCACTCACTAAGCCCCCCAAGGCCCAAAAGACTCATAAAAAGACTAGCGCTCAGAACTTAAGAAAAACCTAAACCCTCAGCCCTGTGCCGACGCGGTTGTCAAAATCTATAGCTCAAGAGCGCTGAGAGAGAGACATGAATTTCCCCAAACTCTCCCTAGTCAGGTTTCTCTTCCATACCAAATCAGCCATGGATTCAAAAACAACATTGCTGGACAGAAGCTAAGCCGGTCAAATTGAGCCTGTGCAAAAAGTGGTGGGGAACAGAGTGCTGGTACCATAATATGTTTTTTCTTACTGCGACAGGTTGCTAATCACAATGACTAGGATTTGGGGAGTCTATGCTTCTAGCCTGTCGAAGTGCTGCATACGGATGCAGGACATTCAAACAAGAGCCTTCAGGCGACATGAGTTCACCTTTTTGGGATTTTGGGTTCTAGAAGGTACCAAAATGCCGAAGCAGACGGCCTTTCTGACAGAGGCTTGCGCACAGGAAAAAAAGAAAGTACCAACATGCGTAATTCACCAAGCGATCTGGGCTTTGATTAGGGGGCAGCAGCTGGAAGTATGCATTGTTGGGAGCCCCAAAATGCGTAATTCCAAGCGATCTGGGCTTTGATGGGGTGAGGAGCAGCTGGCAGCACACGTTTTGGGGGTTTGGGCCCTTGAAAGTTGCGAAATGCGTATTCTAAGCGATCTGGGCTTTGAGGAGTACACATCTTGATGCATTTTGGGAGTTTTAACCCTTTAAAGTCCAGTCCCAAAATGCAGATTTCAAAGGGATCTGGGTTTTGATGTGGGGGAGCCAGGAGTACACATTTTGGGAGTTTGGGCTCTTGAAAGTCCCAAAATCTGGACTCCCAAGCTGTGGCCCATGAAACCCTCAAAATGCGTACTCCAAAGCGATCTGGGCCTTGATGGGGGAGCAGCTGGGAGTAGCCCTTGAAAGTCCTAAAGTGCGTGCTTCCAAGCAATATGGGCTTGGATGGGGGGGCAGCTGGGAGTGCACATTTTTGGAGTTTGGGCCCTTGAACGTCACAAAACGCATTTTGATGCATTTTGGGAGTTTGGGGCCCGTGAAAGCCCAAAAAGCAAATGCGTGCTCCCAAGCGATCTGGGCTTTGATGGGGGGGAGCAGCTGGGAGTAGACATTTTGGGGGTTTGGGCCCTTGAAAGTCCCCAAATGCGCGCTCCCGAGCAATCTGGGCTTTGATGGGGGGAGCAGCTGGGAGTGCACATTTTGGTAGTTTGGGCTTTTGAAATGGCAGGGGTAGAAGGTAGGTGTAGCTGCGCCAGACTGGACCAAGCTTGTCGTGCAGGCATAAAAAAATATCCAAAATGCGTGCTCCCAAGACGAAAGCTCAAAATGCGCACTCCCAAGGGAGCTGGGAGTACATTGTTGGGGGTTTGGGCCTTGAAAGTCCCAAAAAGGGTACTCTCAAGCCGAAAGCTTACTCCCAAGAAAGAGCAGCTGGGAGTACACATTTTGGAAGTTTCGCGCCTTGAAGGTCCCAAGATGCGTCTTTCCAAGCGATTTGGGCTTTGATGGGGGAGAAGCTGGAAACACAAAAGGCATACTCCCAAGCGATGTGGGCTTTGATGGGGGAGCAGTTGGGAGTACACATTTTGGCAGTTTGGGCCCTTGAAATGTGCTCCCAAGCCATCCTGACCGGGGGGAGCAGTTGTGTGTTGTGGTGCTACTGCGCTGCATTACCTGCCGTGTCTGTTTTGTTGTGATTGCAACCTTCCCCCTCTTCATGGTGGGGCGGTTGCTTGAGGTGGGGCATTATCTGTTTCCCCATTGGGTAAACCTTCCTAAGACGCGCAGAGGCCACTTAAAAGAAGTTTGCCGGTGCGCTTGTGAGGCAGTCTTCCTAGACACTGCCGGCAAGCGGGTGGGCACGCAATTCTACAGCCTTGATGCTGCTCAAAGTTACTTGAGCAGAGGAGAGGCAAAATGTCCGGTAACGAATCTGCCGATAGCCAAAGTGCAAGAAGTGCCAAGCATCACCAAGGACTTCTGGACCGGTCCTGTTGCAAGACTAGAACAAAGCTGTGTTGCAGTCTGGTGACATGTCCTGGGGGTGTATTAGGAACATGTGAAGGATTGTGGGCTATGCGCGCCAGAATTCTTGCAAGAATTGGTCCATAGAAGCAGGCCTCCTGATTTCTTAACCCGCGAGGACCCGAAAGCGTGGTTCCGGCTTTGTGATGCGGATGGCGATCGCAAGCTAAGCCGGGATGAGGTGGTTTCTGCTCTGAAGGCGCAGCTTCCTTTGGACAACAAGGCAATCGATAAATTCCGAACAGACGATGCTGCCTGGAGAATGTGGGATTCTGACCAGAAACCCAGCTGAAGTAAGGAAGTTTAGGTCTTGAAGTGAGTGGTCTCATAACAAAGCTGAGATGGGTAGCAACCTCAGGAGTGGCTTTATTGAGTACATCGAGATCATGGATGAGGACAAGGGGCTCCTCAAGTTTGTTCGTGACGCGTTCGCAAGAGCTGCTGTGGAAGCTCCAATCCCAGACCTGCGCCGGGACCGCGATGGCTGGTACAGGACAGGCCAAGCAAGCCCGCAGCATACTGAAGCAGCGTGATGCGAGTACATGGTAGATGCAAGCGCCTGATACTGATAGAGTCCATGTCACCACAGAGCAGGCAGCATGTGCAGCAGATGTCCCACGGAGTGCAGGTACTGGGACGAAGATGGCAGCGGCGAGCTGGAGTTTGATGAGGTTGTGCGGGCCTTCGCCAAAACCTTTGGGATCAATGTTGAGGGCATCACACAGCTGCGAGAGAGCCTTCAAGCAGTGTGGGGGATATTTGATACAGACAACTCTGGAGCTGTGGATCGGCGAGAGTTTATGGCTCCGAACGATGGATTGGCGGATACAGTGCTAGCCACCATGCGCTACCGGTGATGCAACTTGCGAAAAACATGTTTGCTCTGTTGCCACATGTTGTCTTGCACTTGGGAGTCTGCATTCCATGGAATCAGCTACAACTGGAAGATGTCGGGAAGATGGTTTTTTCTTTGAACGCTTGGTTTATACAGGGGATCACCGATAAGCAGTCCATGACTATGCTGCCGTTCCGCACCAGGGTGCTTTCTTCAGTTTGCCGGATCGCAGTCTGGGATTTACGTGCTGTTTTTCTGTCGCTGCAACAGCATTTGGCCTAGGCCCTGCATGTCACAGCCTGCTTTCACGATGCCCGACGGCTTGCCACAGCCATGAAGTGACAACACATGGCTTGGAGACGGCATGATGGGCGGCCCGCGTTCTGCTTGTGGATCGCTTTTGGAGCCGCCGTGGTGTGCGGGGTCTTACGTGTGAGGCTGCCATGGGCTTCGATCGCTGCGCCGGCAACTGCCCGGGCTCTTCGGACCACGGAGGCAGAGTCGTTTTGGTGCAGAGGCCACGCAGCGCTTCGGGGCCTACTGCTGCCAGGCACTGTCCAGCGGCTGCGCAAGCAGCTTGCCATGGCAAAGGCTTCGGGCGAGGTATCTGCGAAGAAGCATGCGCTGCGTACAACCATGCAGCTTGAAGAGCCTGAGGACCCTGTTTCAATCTTTGATACATGCCTTTACCGAACGACGTCATTCCTGCAGTACTTCAACCTCTGGCGAGAATCGCCTGTGCTGTCGGACTTTGCTTGCTCTCTTGCTACAGTCACTGCGCCACTGTTGGAAAGCCAAAAGCTCCACTTGTATGGCGACACACTCTTTGTAAAGCAGCAGGGAAATAAGGGGACAAGTTGGCACGTGGACTTGAACCATGTGCCGCTTGACACTGCTGATTTCCTGACATTTTGGATACCGCTCCAAAAAGTGCCAGGCATTGACAGCCTAGGATCTCCGCTAATCTTTGTTGATAGAAGCCATTTGCCGCGCGATGCGGCTGCAGATGCAGATCTCAGCACACATGCTCCGCTGGACCTTGGTGACGTGACAGTTCATCACGGAAACACATTGCATGCAGCTCCGGGCTTGCATGGCTGTGAACAGGAGCGGTGGGCCTGGGCAGTGTCTTTTTTTGCGCATGGTGCCAAAGTCAAAGACCTGCCGGTCGAGGATGAGGAGAGGGAGGCGCACAAGGACTGGGCAGCTTCTTTGCAGCCAGGATCCTTGGCAGAGCATGAGCTGCTGCCTGTGGTGCCCGTGTCCTCGCTCAACATGACAGCAGGGGGAGCTGAAGCTGTCCGTGAAAGTGATGAGATACGTCTTTGGCTTCAGTTCTATCATGGCACCTTGCTCGCAGACCGCGGGCAGGTGCAGGAAGCAGAGAGGCGCTGGAGGAATTTGCTGGATGCGAATGCAGCAGAGAACTCTTCACATTTATTGATTTTGTGCCTGCACCGTTTAGGCATTCTCTTGCATGACTCCGGTCAGTTGGATCACGTGGAGCCTTATTTGCAACGTGCCGTATCTCTGGCAGCACAGCTGCCTGGTATGCAAGAATCTCTAGCAGAGCTTCTTACGGACTTTGGGCTTTGGCTGCGTGACTCTGGGGATGTGTTCCGTGCTGAGCAACAGTTTCGCCGCGCTTTGATCTGCAGGGAGGAAGGTCTTGGTCCTCTGCACCGGGACACCTTGGTTTCTGTGTACAATCTGGCAGATGTCTTGGAAGATCTCGGGCAACTGGCCGAAGCACAGGAGCTGTTTGAAAGAGAGGTATCCTGGTGCCGCCGTTTTCTGGGAGAGCAACATCATGAGACGCGAGTGAGCATCAGGAATTTGGAGAGGTTCGAGAGGAAATGGAGATTTGGTAGATAGAAGGGGATTTGCGACATTGTTTGTCATATCGTGTGACTTGCGCGGGCTCCTTTGTCTGCCCGCTTGCTCATGACATGCCATCCTTCCACTCAAAGCTGTGCGGCATGGAAGTGCACCGCTTTGCAAAAACTGCCATCTAGAAATTCTAAATTTTTGTGGAGAGACTTGCGCATGTCCTTGCGCAAAAAGATGCCTGGGCCGAGGCTGGAGTACAGTCCTTAGCCGAGAAGTTCAAGCTCGACGAGCGTGCGGCCTACAAGCTGAGCGAGGTGCAGTGGGCCGTAGGAAAAGGAAGTAAGCTTGAAAGCATCAACAAATTAGGATACCGATTGCAAAGGGCGACTTGGTTCTTGTAGGTCAAAAACCAAGACAGTGGCCTGATCTTAGATGGTAGCCAGAAATCTACGCCCAACTGCTGAGGTCCCTGAGTGGTCAGTGCAAGTTTGATAAGAATCGGTTTGGATCGGAGGTGTTGTCTACGAAGCCGAAGAAGTCTGCACCCCAAAGTTCTTGCCAGCCTGCTGCAGCTTGCCGCTTGCCAGTGCAGACTAGAGGAAGGATGTTCTCAAAGCCTTGGACATTCACTTGGCAGCAATAAGCTCGGCATGGCTTGCAACACAGAGCTAGTGTGCCATGCCGGATGCAATGCAGCGCTAAAGGCTTCAAACAATCCATCGGCCCTGGTCATGCTGAAGCTCTGCACTCAATGCGATCCAAGGTCCTGGGGATGTGCTGCTTGAGTGCTGAACATGGTGCCCAGGCTTGCAGACCTGCGAAAAGACGTGCCTTTGGGCGAGGTGCGCCCGTCCCTGTTCCAATGCATCTAACCAAGGTCCTGTGGTGGAACATGCGTGAGAACGCGTTTGGCTTGCGTCTGTGTGATGCAGTTTGGGATCCGTGGACCGCTACGCCTAACGTTTTTCTGGCAGGTCCCCTACGGCACTAAAGGGTACCGGGATCGTCATGAGCCTAGCCGATTGCCAATGGCAAGCTCACCGGGAAAGGGGTTCAAAACCGTGCAGATGGAGGTGACAAGTTTCTTGCCTACAATGTCAGGGAGAATAGGGAGAGGGTTCATGCCTGCTGAGGCCCTTACTTAGGAAATTATGACCGTGACGGTCGGCGAATAGGACGTGCCGAAGATCCTGCAGTGAAGGCGGCTCTTGAGTGAGGGCTCCAAGCAGTACAGGAGCCTCCTCAAGTCCACTCTCCTGCGCATAGGCACTTGCTGGTGATGGGCCTCCGCGCGATCGTTCGCTCCCGAGATGTGCTTGGAGCCTGTGCTGTTGGAAGAACGTCCAGCTGTGCTGTGATGCAAGGTGACAAAGGTGAAAAGGGTGAAAGGTGCCACATCAATTTTTTGCACCCTGCGGTACCAGGGTCACAGTTCACAGACATCTGTTCTGCAAGCAACACAGCCGTGAAATTGCAGCATTGATTTGTGCTCATAGATCGACATCAGTTCCTGTCCGGAGTTGCAAGTGATGGCAGCAGAGGACTGGCGAGACAGCAATGTAGGTGCAGTGGGCAGTGATGAGGACAAAGCAACAAGGAAAATGGCAGCTGAGAAGGAGCCTGCTTGGCGCGAAGCGGGCACAAAGCCTGGCATTCAAATCTGGCGTGTGGAGTATTTCCATGTGGTCCCTGTGGACCCCGCGTCTCATGGACAGTTTCACAAGGGAGATTCATACATAGTGCTGCACTCAGATGAAGCTGCCGATGGCAAGCTCTCGCGCACCATCTATTTCTACATGGGGACTGAGAGCTCCGCTGATGAGAAAGGGACGGCAGCCTACAAGACAGTCGAGCTTGATGATTTCTTCGGTGGTGAGCCGAAGCAGGTTCGTGAGGAGATGGGCAAGGAATCCCCCGCCTTTGCAGCACTTTTTTCTGGTTCCCTGACATACCTGGATGGCGGAGTGGACAGTGGCTTCAGGCATGTGGTTCCTGAGGGGCACGACACAAAACTGTATCAGATCAGGAAGGTGAAAGGAAAAACTTCAGTCATCCAGGTGCCGGTAAAGAAGGACCTTGGCAGCTGATCATATACGTGATGCCTGTCACTTTTGCTGCTTTAGCTCATGACGTGCGTTCTGGCCGCCAGGATATGGTCACGGATGCAGACAGCTTTGTGCTGGACGCGCCAGGTAAGATCTATGTGTACGATGGGTCCAATTCTTCGATCCTCATCCTGAAATGACAACCCACTCTAACTTGTGCTTGCTGGTTGTTCAGCAGTTGATTCTTTGCTTTCCCGCTATTGCGCTTTGCTTGCTTGGGTTGCTGGACATTGAGGCCCTTCGAGAAACAAGCGGCAAACCGACACGCAGAACATTTGGAAAGCTTGAGGTGCCCGGATTTGCAATGTCTGTATCCGGTAAGAGTTTCATGATCTGCTCCCTCTCACATCGAACGTAATGTGGCAGGAGCGGCCGTGCACAAGCCACGCACGACATTGACGATGCTTTTTGGACTTTGTTAACCGCAGCTGCCTGATTCAATGCCCTGTTCTTGCATTGCTTGACGTGAACCTTTGAACAAGTGCCAGCGCTGCGCCTGAGAATATTGCTTGAGATCGTTTGGTGCCTTGACTGCCTAACGAGTCAGACAAGGCGAAGCAGTTTGCAGGCGCAAAAAAGTGCGCATCTCCTGGATCAGCCTTGCGAGCTTGGACGCTTTAATCCATCCAAATTGCCAGGCCAGATCGTGGCCGCGACCGCGACCGCGACCGTGGTGAGCGCGTCGACCGCGGCGAGCGGGGCGACCGTGATCGCAATCGGGAGCGTGGAGACCGGGAGCGTGGAGACCGGGAGCGTGGAGAACGTGGTGAGCGAGACCGCGATCGCGATCGCGGTGATCGTCCGCATGGGGACGGAGGCTAGCTTTCATCCGGCAATTCAGCGATCGTATGCCTTTTGCTGAAAGGTGTTGATCGCCAGGCCGGCAGGATGATTTTGGCCAATATCGACTAAGCACCCAGTGAGTGGCGGCTTTGCAGGAGAGGCGCGGCAGAAGTCGAAGCATGAGCCCCAGAGAATGTTGGAAATTGTCGGACTTCTGCTTGGCAATGCTTTTTATGCATGACATTGGCATGGATGCGTCCTTCCTCAGACCAGACGGACAAAGACGGTCTGCTTCAAAGAAGAGGGTTACAGCATGACACACGAAATCCTGAGCCTGCCTCAACCTTTTCTTATGCGGTAAGGTGCTTGCCCCTTTTACCCTTGAGGCCCTACGGGTTTTTGGCCGTTTTCCGTTGATGCTGTCCTTCCTAAGATGGTTAGGCCGGAGGAGGCGGAGTCGCAGCCGCGGCGCCTGGGCCTCGGCAAGCGTTGACAGCGTGTTGACACGTTTGAGTAATTATTTGTTTCTATGTGCTGGAATCGTGGGGATGAATTGATTTTGATCGGGTTGAGCGGGCCAGTTTTAAAGGGCAGATGAAATCATTCCCGCTGGAAATGTGGCACCCTGCTTCTACTTGCCTTGAGCTAGAGGCTGCAGCTGCATGAGATGGCAGCAAGACGGTGCCACAGACGGTGCTTAAATGAGCAGCGGAGAGTGGCTTCCTATTTGTCGAAAACCTCGTTGTGCCAAGAAGTCTTGTATTCGATGGAGCTTGCTTGAAGTCTGCCACCCCCGCGTTGCATGCATTTGGCCTTTCATCCGTTAGCCTTTTGCGGGACGGGATGCCTCAGTCGTCCCCAAGAAGCACAGGCCATGTTCTGCATACTCTACGTACATAGTACCATGTTACCCCTCCAACAATTACCTTGTCCTGTCAGGAGCTCCTCCTGGAGCCATGGACCAGGCCTCTTCCAGTGCCTCCCGCAAGGCAAGGGGCTTGGCCAGGTCAAAGCTTACACACTGAATGCTACTTGTACTGAGTCTAGTTTGGCCAGTAGTTGGTGACCACGCGACCTATCCGCAAAATGCGGGGCCTCAGCAGCTCACCGTTTCTCGATCCTGCAGCATGAACGCAGAATCCAAAAGCGGGGAGTCTTTGAGTTCAACACCAGATTTCAACTTCAGATTTTGTCAATGCTTCATGTGCCAGCAGTGAGCTCATCAAACTGTTCTTGATAATCCGAAGTTGAAAATTAATCGGAGCCTGAGGCCGACGGGTTGCAGTCTTTGCTGGATCACCCCTGCAGTTGAAGATTATTGACTTGGCGTTTTAAGGTGAATTTGGAACTGTCAAATTGAAAGCATTGGTCTCAGGTCAGGGGCAACTGCCTTGGTTTTATCTAATTGTCAAAAGACGGGTATGTGCCTGTGGACGGCAGGTCAGGGTGGAAAGCTATGTGTTTTGTGTGATTTCTTGTCTCAACAAGGCGTCCCGGTGCTTGGCGGAGCTGTTGCAGTCTGCAGATGGGCAGGCCGGGTCAGCGATTTCGATGCGCATTGCAAAGCAAGAGCTTGAGGTACATTTTCTGTGCAAATTTCTTACGCAGAGAGGGAGGAGTGCAGCTGCAGAGATGAGGCCTGGCGTTTTGCCCCCAAGCCCCATTAGGTTCACCTTTGGCACAGGCATCGACTTGCAAAAGGCCAGCCGGTCCAAGCGCGTGGCATTCACTTTCCGCGGGAGGTAGCCCACTCAACTCCTTGGCGCACGAAGTCTGCTTGACGGCAAACATACTCTTTTTTGGTGCCAAGGTAATCGCCGAGGCGCTGCGGCTTTGGGAAGCGCAGGAGGATGGGACGAGGCAGCATGCAGGGTATCGCCTTCCAAGCTCAGCCTAGGGAGCGGCGGCAGACATCATGATGACCATGCTGGTGTGAGTTCACCTGAAGTGCGCGCAGCTGAGGCCGGCGTCAAGGGCTGTGCCAGCCATGCCTGCAAGCTGGAGAGTCAGCACTCCGCAGACCACAGGCATCCTCGCAAACAGGCTTTCTGCGCCATGAGCACGTGCTGCCTGCAGGTGAGAACCCATCTAGCTCTGTTCAGAGGCCTGTTGGAACCAGCTTTGGCTTGCAGTTGTGTGGCCCTTGAGTACAGGCCGCCCAGTGATAACAAGGAGGCGCATTTCAATTTCAATAGCGTGCTGGTACCATGACGCGTTTTTTCTCGTTGAGACAGGTTGCTTCTCGCCCCGGCAAAATTCGGAACATGTACTTGGGTCTCTGCAACTAGCCTGTAGAAGGACTGCAGGCAACATGTGGCTTCAGGGCGTGCAGACAAGAGCCTGAAGGCAAGATGAATAGAAGTTTTGGGATTTTGGGCCCTCGAAAGTGCCAAAACGCGTGCTCCCAAGCGATCTGGGCTTTGATTGGGGGAGCAGCTGGGAGCACACATCTTGATGCATTTTAAGAGTTTGGGCCCTTGAAAGTCGCTCTGATGGGGGCAGCAGCTGGGGGTGAATATTTTGGGATTTTGGGCCCGTGAAAACCGGGCATGTTGCAGGCTGTGGTGAGCAAAAGCCTTGTTATGGCGAGTATGTTTTTTTTTTTTGTTGAGGTTGTAACGCCCCCTCATTTCAATTCAAATATTTGAGGAACTTTGGGTGCACTAGCCTTTCCGGCCTTCGCTGCCCGTCCAGAACGACTCGTCATGCCGGTCATGTTTGAACATGGCTCAACTTTGCTCTTCCTGCTGATGTTCAGGCCAGTTCGCAGACCATACGGCAAAGCAGGCTCGTTGGCTGGCATCGCCATGCGTCTCCCTGTGTGCAGTGCGTGACCTTAGGCGTAAAATCTGTGCAGCTTTGGCATTTGACGGACATGTGATATGTGTTACAACAAGCCAGATGGTGTATGGCACCCCGGCCAGAGCATGATAACATGGCTGTGAGAACAACAAAGTTCGAAGTCATACTAGATGAGGTGTGTAGGATACTCCTGGCGGTCATGGCGCGCATTCACTGCAGCTGCTGGAAGTGCTGCCGGGTTTGGCCTGCAGCATCGAGATGGCTGCGCGTGCGCCGCTGCCTCGCACCAGAACAGCCTTTCGCAAGCTGGCATGCCATGTTGGTGCCATGCTGTCTGAGGCCGGCGCGCCGGACGCACTGCAGCCAGCAAGGGTGGACCACTCCCGGACGCAGGAGAGTCCATTTTCGAAGAGCAAATCAAAGATGTCAAACTTGGACGGACCTCAGACGAGGGCGGTAGCAGATCAGCAGCTTCTTAGATGCAAAACTTGTCGTAGCTACATGGCCCTGCAGATGCCGCTGCATGGCTGGGCCTTCAGATCGTTTTGCAGGAAGTCGCATCAACTCGTTGGCTGAAATTGCAGACCTTGACGTACCGTCCCCTGCCAGACAAAAGCTTGGCTGTTTAAGGGATCATGCCCAAAGGCAGATGTCCGGATGCACAGTACAAGAAAGGGAACATTCATTGCAGGAGCCATACCAACCTTTGCCTCACAGTATCTGGTCATCACCAAGGCGATGAGACCGGCCGGGATCGCCGTTGGGACAGCGTGTCCCGGACCACTCGCCGTGCATCCCTGGCCACCTCCGGGGTTGATGCTGTAGCCATTCTGGCGTTATTGCGATCCTCGGCCAACCCCGGGCGAGCCGAGACTCTGTTGGTTCAACAGGCCAGAAGGCTCTCATGCGCAGCCCACCCTGTTGAGTGCAATGCAGTATCGCTTCAGTTCCGGCCGCCGGTGGATTGTCCCACGATTGAGCTTCCGGCGGGCCTTGTGGACGAGGGCGAGACAGCAGAGCAGGCTGGGTAGGTGTGGGCCCTTTCAGCATCTTTTTGAGACTGCCAGTCAGGCAGCTTTGCGTGAGCTCAAAGAGGAGACGGGTTACATCGGCACGATCGCGGAATGCTCGGGCGTTCTCACCATGTCGCCAGGGCTTTGTGACGAGATGATCAGGCTCGTGGTTGTTGAGGTGGACTTAGACCGCCCAGCTGCTCTACCAAGATTTCGCAAGCCGTATAGGTCCTCATGTTTGTCTGCAGCTAACTAGGACAACATCTGTTTCTGTTGTGGCTGTGGCATACTTATAAGGAGAACCAGTCGCCGAAGCAGCAGTTGGAAGAAATGGAGCGGATTGCAGTACGCCGTGTTCCATTGGACCAACTCTTGCAGGAGCAACTTCAGTTGATCCTGTTTTTCAACTTGTCGCGACTGCATACAAGATGCAGGAGCTGGAGAGTTTGTCAAGAGATGGATGCATGCCGATTGCAGGCAGGGCAAGACGCGTATACTAAGATCGCTTGTCATCATGACTACTCCTCTGCCAACTAAATTCTCAACACTCCGATTGCCATGATCATGAGTAATTGGAGGATGTTTGGCTCATTCTGTTGGCTTGCATAGGTTTGCACTTCTTGGCTGTCGGCTTGCGCCTGGGCCTGCTCCAGCGCTTTTTCTCCCCAGGGGGAGCTGTGCACTCGAGCCTCGTCTGCCAAACTTAGGGGGCAACATGATCAGTAAAGTGATGGTAGTAGCACGAAGCGCGTAGTAGCAACGTAGGGGCACATGAAGAAGCGGCAGCAATAGCTTGGGCAACAGCGGTGGCGCTTGTGTACGCTTGTTGCATCTCAGGCCATCAGGATGATGCCAAATGAGAGGGGTTGCCCTTCTTCTTGCAGAGAAAGTGACGTCGGGTTGTTTGAATTATTTTGAACGTCAGTGCAGGTTGTCGTTCTTTGGACCCTACAGTAGCAAAAAGTTGCTGCAGGGACACCGGGCATGCCAACGAGGCTCAGAAGCCCACCCTTACAAGGCAAACGGCTTGACCGTTCGGTCTTTGTTTGATTGTTGAAGTTCTATGCAGTTGCTGGGTTGGGGACTGCTGAATCTGTCAGGGCATGGCTTGAGATGGTGCGGGCTCGTGGTCTCCTCGGTCTAAGTGCAATGCAGCCGTCGTCTTTTGCTCCTTTCAGATGTTAGCTTGGCCAGCTCAAGCTAGACATGCTGTACTTGAAACCATGACACGTTGAACATTTCGAGGGTTCGCGATCAGCCAGTGTAGATGACGCTTTCAAACCTCCCTCCCACTTGAGCTCTCGAAGGAAAGTGTGACCCCTGCAATCTTTGCAAAATATGAAATGTACAAACAAGAAGCATTCAATCAGGAACCCTACCGCATTGACTGTTTACCCAGCCTTAATTCGAGTTGTAGAAGGCCCTCCTGGCAAGCATGGCGGATGATGGCGATCCATCAAAGCGCCTGGCGTCAGATGTACTGGCAGCAGAGGAGTCGTCCAAACGACACAAACCGGATCTGTCACGGGCAAAGACGCAAGAGGAGGAGTTGGATGACCTCATTGAGAGTGGCCTGCTTGATGAGCCTTCGGATCCACCAGAGGAGGTTGCTCGACAGACTTTTGCAGGTCAGTTCTCCTCCAATGCCTTCAGGGTAGAGGAAGAGGATCTGCCCAAATTGCTTGCAGAGGTGTTAGAGCAAGGCCCAGCATGGGGTGGCACAAGGTACTGGCGGTGCGCGGCCCTGTTTGTTGGCTGTATCGGAAGATCCACCAGGTCATGCCGCATAGCTTTTGTGGCACACCCACAAGGCTTGACCCTCCTTGGCCTCGTGTTGAAGGAGGCGGTTGCGCGACTTGAAGCCCCGGGATTACATCAAGAAGCAAGCATGTTGGCATTGGCGTGCCTGACATGCCTGAAGGCCCTGCCCTTGGGTCGTGCTTCGCTCTGGGAGCACCGACAAGCCTTAGGAAAGCCCTTCGACCAGCTTCACAAATGGTGTAGCAAGGATCGCAGCGCTGTCGCTGCTGAACTGAGGGGTCCCACTTTAGAGTTGTGCCGCCGGTGGAAGCGGCAGCCGAAGCCTGCCGCACAGGAGCAGACCCACAAGGCCCTGCGGGGAAAGGTCTTAGAGCTCATCGCCAGTGGCCTGCAGGGCCGTGGCACATCACCTGCATCACCATTCCCGGCATCCCCTGCGCAGCTTCCAAATAACTTGGTTGCAGCTGAGGTAGAGAGTGCGCTTTGGGGCCGCTACGGTGCCAGCAACACTTCGGAGTACCGGCAGCACGCGCGAATGCTCCGAGCAAACTTGGCCTTGCCAGGGAATGCCGAGCTGCGGGCAAAGATCCTAGCAGGAGATCTCAAGGCTGAGGAGCTGGCGGGGATGGACTCCAGCGCCTTGGCACCAGATGAGGTCCAAAAACAGCGCAGGGAAGTCCAAAAGCAGGCCATGAAGGAGGCCGTGGTTGAGGAGCTGCTGCCCGTTCGGATGGGAGACGGAGACGGCTCTCCTTTCGACCCAAGTGCAGATCTCAACACAGCCCCTCTGGTTTGGCGCAGCCCTACGAAAGAGGCCAAGACTGAAAGCCAAGACGCTGCAGAAGAGGAGGGAGCCACTGGCTTGCCCATGGTCCCACCCCCAACACCTTTCCGCCTTGCGGTGGCGACCCCAGCCATGGAACCTGGATCACCGGACATTCCTGAGATGCTTGCCACTCCAGGACCAGAAGAGGATGATGACGTTTTGGCGGTCCTGCGGTTCTTGGCTTCACCTCCTTGATGCCAGAAACACAACTACGAGAGATTCAAAAAGCTATGCTGCTATGCTGCTGTTGGTGCCACACTGTCTTGGTCCTGTCTTTGCGCATCTGGCCTGCAGCATGCTGGCTATGCTGCTGTGCTGGGGTTGGAAAATGCTGAGGCCGTGAAGAAACTACTCCCTCCCGCAGCACCCCCAGAACAGCAGGTGCTCAGCGGTGACAGATGGAAGAGACAAGCATATGCTGAAGCAGAGCTGCTGCACCTTTTTCACTGCTCAATTCTCAGGCGCTTTAGAAAGTCAACTTGTTACCATCAGCCAAAGGGCTGAGATGCAGTGGTAGGTTGGAGGCATGGCCTCGTTTGGTAGGGGCAATGGATACGGCCACTTGCACTCCTTCTCCGGCTTTGGCGCCCGTTTGCGAAACCAGCGTGGTAGGCTGGATCCAGAGCCGGCTGACTTAGATCTGGATTTTAGTTCGTCGCTGGAGGCCTGGATTCTGCCCTAAACTGCTCAATTTCACAGGTAACTTGCTCTGAGTGTATTGCGTTTGTCATTTGCATGTCATTGACTGTCAGGTGGACCTGGGTGCAGGATTAGGTACCGGGGTCCAGCGTGACTCTTTTGGCTTCTCGTCCCACTCCGGCAATCCTGCTCGGCGCGGCCTGAAGGCAGCTAGCTTCCAGCATGCGCCAAATACAGGAAGCGCGAGACCTGGCAGTGTGCTGCAGGGTCTAGAACAAATGCCGTTTGACCACCAGATCAGGGGGATGCGGTGGCGTGGAGATGGTGTGTGCTGCTTTATCTTAGCAGGTAGTGGGGGCATCGATGCCTTCCGCGCTTCTCGCGTACTGCCACACTTGCTCCACCTCAGCACGCTGAGCAACGGGCACCTGTCACAAGCTGATCTGAGTGGATTCCGCGCCTGTGTCCTCTTGGCAGACCTCATGGAGTGGCCGGCTAACTCGGACAATGCGCAGGACTTGTTGTCTGCGTGTAAAGAGCTGGCATCCAACGGGTCAGCTGTTGCTGTTGTTGCTGTGCTCCTGTCCCCTATTCCGGGTGGACCTGACAGAGATGCAGCTTCCACTTCTGCATTGCAGAGCGCGGTGCTTGGAGCTGGAGCAGACTGCGTGCTCTTCTCGTGCCCGACACATCCGGTGACATTCCGACACCTGCAGACAGCTATTCAAGGCACAGAGGCATGGCACGAGAGGATTGCTGAAGCCATTGAGAGTGCCCAGGCAAAGCTGGCTAGGGCACAGGAGCAGCGTTGGCAGAGGCATTACCAAATTGCTCTTCGAAAGATTGTATGGAAAGCTCCGCAGACAGTCTTCCCTCACATTCCTCAAGAAGATGCAGACCTAGACGAGCGCGAAGATGGCGTCGGTGACTGTTCATTCATTCGCGTGATTGGGTCCGGTGCCTTTGGAAGTGTTTTTCTTGGACGACACCCCAGGCTTGGGGATGTGGCGGTGAAGGCCATCAAGAAGGCTTCCATCAAGAACATTTTCGACCTTGCCAAGGTAGAACGGGAACTCAGCATTCTTATGGGGGTGCTTGACCATCCGAACGTGCTGCAGATTTTGTTGTGCCTGCATAGCGCGAACCTTGGCCAACGTGTTAGACCCCACCATGCTTTCGATGCGCCTTTCAATTTCACCACAGCCTCTGATATCAGCCTCTGATAGTACACGTCCTCTGGGGCATCAGATGTGATGCACCTTTGCACACGGAGAACTCGCTGCTATTTCTGTACTGTCGGTTTGGTGCATAGGGCTCCAGCATGGGATGGTGATTTGCTTCATTTGATTTGTTCCTGTTTAGGCTGTGGCATGGTTTAGGCACACCTTCAAGCCAGAGGAACAACCTCTACATTGTTATGGAGTTTCTTGGGGAGTACACGCTCCACACCTATCTGCAGCTTCGGCAGTCGGGCTCAGCTCGCAATGTGGTCATGCTGCCATTTCAGGAGGCGCGAACGATAGCGAAGCAAGCCGACATTCTGTGACGTAATGCAGATTGCAATGCAAGGATATTCGGGATGTGTGGGTTCGTGTGCGTGCAGGTACAGAGCATTTTCGGCGATATTCTGAAGGCTATTGCCCATTGTCACGCCGCTCATGTGTGCCATCGTGACCTGAAGTTCAAGAATATGATGATCGATGCAAACAGCCGTGTGACCATGGTGGACTTCGGGCTAGCAGTGCAAGTCGCACCGGGGCAAGAGCTACACGACTCCTGCGGCACGGTGCCTTTTGCTGCGCCCGAGGCCTCTTACTGTTGTTACTGTTCAGTTCCAATACGTCTGATACATGCTGCAGAGTGACTGTTGCAGGTGATGATGTGCAGCCCGACGAAGGGCTATGATGGCACGGTGGCAGATACGTGGAGCCTGGGCAGCTAAATAGTTACAGTATATGTCCATTTCGTGTTGGCGATTACTTTTCAGGCTACCATGCAAGCTGTCAACAGAGAGTCGTGGACCACTCATCGGCATGCGCTACAGAGCATTTTTCTTGATGCATGGCTTTTTGCATCTTTCCGCACAGCCCCAGCGTCAGCGACGAGAACCCAAGGAGTATAGCTGTTTGCCTGGTGGAGCTACTGTGCGGCCTGGGCACAGTGGAGAGCAGCTTATATCCAAGCATGAGTGTCGGCAGTAAGTTTTGGCATCGAGCATGTTCTGGCTATTGATTTGGGATTGGAGTTTCTTCAAAGCATACGTCTGTAGGCAGGATGGGCATGAAATTCCAGAGGGTGGCAGCCTTTAGTCAACCGGTTGTGCTACCCGAGCCAGGGCCAAGTAGATGGAGGGGTGCTCTCCTTCCTGGACATGCCAGCTGTCTCATTGGGTTCTGCTCCGAGGCATCATCGGGCTCACTTCTGATGATGAAAACAACTTTGAGCATATCGCGCAACAATGCCTGCTCTTGTGCACCGACTACGTGCACCAGCTCGTCTTATCCTACGCAGGTAAAGATATGCAAGGCATGCATCGCAATGACCTCGTCAAGACGATGCGGGGGGTCTTCCGCGAGAACCCGAAAGCCCGCATGTCTGTGCGGGACATTGGGGCCTTGGAGGCCTTCTCCGCCAAGGCTGGTCCACTTCCCAAGGCGAAGAAGCATCGCGGTGAGAATGACGATGATGAGCGCTCCTCTTGGACGCAGTCCCAGTACCTTGGATCCTATACCTTAAGCCGTGCATTCAACATGGAGAGGGCCCATTTCTGAAGAACTGAGGTATTCCTATCCCAAGAGTGGGGGCAGCGGTGAGGGCGAAGAGACGCTGTCAGACCTGTCCCTGGATAGAACTGGCGCAGTATGTTACCAGCGAAGTTTTTCACGTTATACACTGATCACAACCAGCCTGGAACATACGAGTGCGCAAATGAACTCATTATCTCAACGTGCACCATAAGCCCCGCTGGGTGTCACTAGTCTTCCAAACTGCTGCCGGGCTAATCCTAGTACATGGCCGCCCGTGGTCGCACTCGCCTGTCGGCTTGCTTTGCGGCTACTTTTTCTGCTCTGTTGTGTGTTTTGTTTGCTTGGTGTTGGCATCTTTCCGTCTGTTTTGATCATCTTGCCATGGCTCGCTGCTGCTGTTGCTGAGCTGATGGCGCTCTGCCCAAGGTCTCTGCAGGATTGGATTGGTCCAGAGAACGAACAAAACACTCGACCTGTGCAGCCTCTGGTGGAGCGCATAGGCCGGGCTAAGGGTGAACACAGCTGTTTTGAACATGTTTTCCACACGTCAGGTGGCTCTCAAACGGTGGTGAAGGTGGTGGGCACGGTGTACGACTGGTTGTTGCCCCGCCCAGAGTTTGGACGATTCTTTTTGGCCTGCCCTTTGAAGCTTGCTGCAGACATCTTTTCTTGGCGAGAGTTCTGCTGATTCTTTGAAATATGCTTTCCCTTATGGCAAGAATCGGAGTAGTTTGCGATCTGCTTGTCAATTGCATGTCTGCGTATTGCTGATGGGCTGCTATGAGAGTCTAAGGAAAATGGGACGGATTCGGGCTGGTATAAGTGCCGAGACTGCATCTTTTCGGGAAGCAGATAGCAAGTGGAGCACACAGGTCTTCCTCGGACCCAATTGATCTGGGCTTGCGTGCGTACTAAGAGAGAGTGTAGCATGTGGTCTGGCGATGCCGTTGAAGTAATTGTAAGATTGCAACTCGCATGTCCACAATAGGTTCCTTCTTGACGGAGCTGCTGGAAGACTCGGGGAAGGTGGATCTGGACATGTTGTCGACGGTTCACTGGAACTTGGGCGTGTCGGACTTCCTGTTCACAGACTTTGCAGATGCCCTGCTTGAAGCGTTTCGAACGTGGGGGTCGCGAGGCGACTTGGTTTTCCGATCCGTTTACTGCATGCATGCCGACATTGCACAAGTCCTGCGACGTGTGGCCAGGTGACTCTTCCATGGCCGAAATTCAGGCCTCCTCGACTTGCGGTGATACCACCCGTATACCACCTATGCTAAATTAGCCTTAGGACGGATTTCAAAAGCTCAGGTCTATTAGTGTCTCAGTGTCGCCATTGCCGCACTGATTGCACTACCATGAAGACACATGAATACAAGAAGCATTCCCCAGAAGGCTATGACCATCTTTGTGTGAAGGCCTGCATCGAGAAGCTCCGACTCCCCATCACAGCCGGCCACCGAGCTCGCCTGGCAGCTGCACAGACAGACCGCTGCCCTCAGGAGACCTGTAAGAAGCGCTGTAAGGATTGTAAGGATTGTGAAGCGTTGGACTTGGAACACAGGAGACGGGGGTTTGACGAGGCCTGCGAAGCGGGGATTTGGTTAGCTTTAAGAAAGGAGCAGGGCTTGGGATACAACAAACTCCAGACTACGGAAAAAATCGTTCTCCTTAAACCTCCCTTTCTTATGGTGGAAGGTCTCACGAAGCACGCAAGTCACATCCTTTGCCACATCTCACGCACGAGTTGAATCCCTCCCTCGCCAACGGCTGGCTAGAACTTGGGCTGTGAGTCCCCACAGGTCAGGAAGGGCAAATGACGATTGGATTTAGAGACGCCATTGATCGCAGAGCTGGCCAGTGGCTAGATAGTATCATGATAAAATGCCACTCTGGCACGGCAAGTCCACTTGGCTGCAGGAGATCGTGTGGCTGATGAGTGCCTTGGGCATTGCGCCTGAAGACTTTGCCCAAGCGCTCTCAGACCTGCTGACGCAGGACGCAAGACTGGAGGCACGCACGTTCACCCTTTTGTTTTGTTTGGAAAAAGCTGAGCTCTCCGTGCTCCTCTGTCCCGGGAGGCCTGTTTGAATGAGGCTGAGAAGAGGAGCGAGATGGCCACCTTGACAATTCTACAGCAATTCTCGAGGACGTCCCTTTTGACTCCACACGTCCTCTAGCCATGCTCACGCTCTCTTTCTTGATTTGAGTTTAGATCCTTCGAATCTTGCCAACAGCCAGGACGCTCTGGCAAGGCACTATCGATGCAGCCATGGAGGTCGTGATCTCCGGAGAGCAGTCGCTCTTTCAACAGGAGATTGGGGCCGTGACGCTGTTCTGTGAAAATGTCCGGCAAGTCCTCACGGAGACAGGCCTGTAGCACATTCATTGAATAGACCAATGGTGCCCAAGCTGATACATTTGAGGGTCCTTGCTCTGAGGCTTGGATGACAATGATGCCAAGGATCTGCAAGTTCTGATGGAGCATTCTGGCGAGTTGGTGCTCAATCGAGCCCGCAATGCCAGACTTGTGCAGCCACCTAGCATGGCGCATGACGTTGTGTGGTTCCAGAAAACGCTGCTGGATTTATGCAAGGCTGACTCGTACCTGCAATTCTTTGCAGAGAACCCAAGAATGCCAAGCTGCCTGCAGTCCATCTTCAAGCTGATCATGAACGGAGGCACGCCCCCTGCGGGCGCATCCTTCTCCAGCAAGCTCCGCAGCGCCCACCAGGACCTATACTTGACCGATGCCCGGTACAGTGCCTTCATTTCGCAGTTGGACAAAGTGCTTCGGGCAATGTTCCCATGGCCAGTGCACCCTGCAGCAGTTGCTAACAGCAACATTCGGTCTTTGGAGGGCTTTCGAACAGAGGTGCTTTGTGGCAGCACTTTGCGAAGCTCCAGGCTCCAAGCAGTCGAAGGCATGCTGAACTCAAACACCGACTCCAGCAAGCAAAGGGTTGCACGCAATGCGCGGAAGGGCCGCGTGATGTCAGCCATGCAGAGGTGTGCAGGGAAGCTGTTTGATGCGATTGCTTCGGACCTGCGAGTCTCAGTTTTCTTCCGCAACACCGATCCCGCGTGCAAGGACCGAAAAGCCACATACCTCGGCTGCGCTATGGGAGGTTCGCTGCCAACCGTCACTCCCAGCGGTCTTAGTACTGCCACAAGTACAGCCCATCACACTCCGGCCCCAACAGGCCCAGCGAGCCCAGCATCCTTCTCCTCAGTCGGCTCGGCCCCGGCCCCCCTGTCGCCCACTTCCAGTCTGAAGCAACAGCACCGGCTTTTCCGGATCACTGACTACCACTTCGACGTGTTCCTAGATCATGTCCGGACTGCCTTGGGCGGGGAGGATCCGGAGGCTGCAGATCTGGCACCTGCACAGTTGGAGAGCTTGAGGCAGCATGTGGTCCTCACCTCCCGGGCCAGCCAGTGCCCGGTGTCTGGGAATACAGCGTCAAGTGGTCGGGCCTGCCCCTTCGCACGGCGGATGGTGGATGGCAGTGCCCCACTTCTGGACAGAGTTGGCGGATCTGAAGAGATCGAGAAGATTCTGATCCACATGGAGCGGGAGGCCTGCAGAGGTTTAAAGTGCTCCTGTATCCTGTGGCCCTGTAGGGTATGCATTTTATTTTGCAACTTGTGATGAGGCCGCGTCGTCTTCCATCCTGGTTCCCTTCCTCCAGAACATGGACTCATTACCGTGCCGGACCCAGATTCAGCACCTTTTGGCCACGGCGGCGGCAGGCAACCATCTCCCTCAAGTAGACAAGGATCGCCTCCAACGTGCCCATGGCAATCTACACTTGTTTCCAGAGCATTGCGAGAAGTGGTTAAGTTGCTTCAACAAGAGCATGGTGGCACATATCTTGCCACCAGAGGTCGCAGAAAAACTGCAGACCTGCTTTCAGACTTTGGTTTCGTCCATCGTCTCTCCACTTGCGAACCAGAAGGTGTCAGATGAGGATGCGGAGGAAGACAGAACTAACGAAGACAAGCCCGAGGTTGATTGGGGCAGGCTTCAAGGATTGATTGACGAGCTTGAAGGCGAGAAGGGCTTGACCAAGTTGATTGAGAATTGGTACCACAACATCAGCGAGGAGCCCTCCATCAATGTATTTTTCACGGGCTCTAGGCCCCAAGTCATGATGTTCCAGACTCGCTTCTGGAAGAAGGTACTGCGTTCTGGCCTAGAGCCAGATGGTCGAAGGCAGCTGCAGCTCATAAGCGTTCACCAGCATCTCCGCATCACCCACAACCACTTCGATGCGTTTGTGCGGTGTCTCATGCTGGCGTGTGAACAGCTGAATCTAAGCCAGCCATCGGCCAACAACATGAGAGCGGCTGTTGAGTGCTTCCGGCCGCAGATAGTTTCGGAACCCTAGAAGCGTGGCTGTTTCAGCTTGAAAGATTTGAAGGTCTGGCACCCTGCAGGGGTCGCTGTCCTCACAGCAACTCAGTGCTGGAAGTGATCTGTGTTGGTGGGTAGATTGCAAAGTCCGTGTCACTCAATGCATTTGCGAGCCCGAATGGTGAAGGGCTCATTAGACTGGTGAAGTCTTTGTTAATGCGTCGGCGTGGCATTTTCCTCCGCTCTACCCATGCCTGTCACTTGACCGCACGGCGCAAAGCTGACCGGGTGTTTTTCAGGTTTATACGGCAGTCCTTATCTAAAACTGGCGTGCTTGACATCATCTCCTTTACTTTCAGTGCTCAAGTTCTGTGTGTTTGTTAGCCCGGCAGTCTCTTAGAGCTGGGTCGACGCTGCAGCTACTCACGCGCCGTCGGCATGTTCCAGAAGTGCCATGTGGCGCAAACTTGTGATTTAAAAGAAAAACGTCGGGCACTTTCCGATTGGCATTATCTCGAATGCAGGGCAGCTTCCGTCGGACAAATTGCACTGCATGAGGTGGTAGCGGTGGCCTGCCGCCTGCAGAAACCACTTTGCCTTGGGCTTGGCTGCTCAGGGTGCAACGTCGCAATCAGAGACGTGTAGATTTGAGGTGGCTTTCTTTTCGGTAGTGGAACCGAATCATGGTAGACCAAGTCAGGACATAATTCAGAATCTAGATCCGGGAAAATCCAGTAAATTTCCCCTAGTACGAAACCTACAATCAGGGTTTCAAGGGCCGGTTGCGAGGGACTGACAAGATTACACATAATGCGGCCCTTGATTTGCAGGGGTGGCGCGCAAAGATTGCGATCTTTTGCCCGAGCACAAGGCCAGCACAAGGGTTCATGGATGCAACTTTCTCTGCTTGGTCGCTTGATTCTGACTCCTGAAGTCAGGACTTGAAACACCTGAGAAGGCCTGCCCACAGAAGTATGAACAGTCCATAGCATTGGCAAGAAGTGATCCGTGATGTTTTCTGGCAGGTTGCAATGACAAGCAGGAAGCGTCGGAATCTTTGTACCAGCATGCAGCTGAATGCTAGCTTGTGGCCTGTTGGCTGATGCTGGCTGTAAGCTGCAGTCGCTAAGGTGCTAGCACGCCGGGGACTGATCAGGGAGTTGAGCTGCTTGCTTGCATGTATTTGCTGGCCAAGTGTTATGGCTATGATGCGGGGCTTGGGTGACGGAGATTTTCATGTGTTCATATAAGTGCAAAGTGCAGCAGTTTGCACTCGTCAGCTTGCCGCATGGCGAGCTCTGACAAGGGGGCTTCAGGATCTAGAATCTAGAATCCAGAAGTCTTGCCAGCTAAATGGCCCTGATGAGATTTACGGCCTTCTGTCACTGTCGCTGCCAGGTCACCTCCAAAATGCCAGCGAGCTGCGAAGGAAGTCGTTCTTGCTGTGCCAGTGGAAGCTAGCCATGTGCGTATTGTGTATGCATGGGGGTACTTCTGATCTCCATCTAGAGTCTACAGTAACGTAAGATGGTTTTTGCTCTTGGCTTTTAGTCTTATTGGCAAGGAACAGAATCCACCCCGGTTCAACCACAACACTGCTCGTGTGTTTTTCTCCGGCCAGAAGCTAAAAACTACTGGGAGTCCGAATCGGCGCGCATGTGGTCTCGGCAAGAGTTGGACGTGCCATGACTCGACTAGACAGAAGAGTGACAGAACGGACAGTGACGCAGCTCCTCTGCAGCTGGTGAGGAGTCCACCTTCCCTTCGGCCTGGGACTTATGGAGACAACCATTGAGCGGTACGTGCAAGGTTGCCAGCTCTTGGTTTTTCTCCTTTTTTCCAAGTTGGAGGTATGCCTAGGAAGGGCTGGTGGCGGGCACGTGCATGTAACGCTCACACTTCCTTCGCCTATTACATGTACTCATGTATTCAGTTTGCATCAGGTTCGACTTCAGCAAAGTCTTGCTTGTTCGCTCTTCTTGCGTGTGCCGCTGCCCGCAACGCCATTTTGCATCACAGAATTGCGTCTGGCTGGGATTTGTTGATGTCGTGCATGCAGAAAGCAAAATTGTTCACAGACGTGGGTGCGATGGATGCTGAACGACTTCTTTCGGTGTTTATGGACTATGCGCTTGCCACGCTGCGCCGTCACTTGTCTGGTTGGCGCCCATAATTTGGTTTTCGCAATTTTTCGCACCAATTGCTGCTGGTCACCTGGATGCCCTAGTCTGCCGATCGGGGCTGCTGCCGGAAGAAGTCGGCGCTGGGAATGTGTCACACGCTGAAATTCGCGGCCTTCAAATTCCAGCTGGAACAATTCCAAGCAGTCCTGACCAGCCGGCTCCTGGTTGTAGCCTGGCAAAACTGAGGCTCTGGAGCCGGCAGCGTGTCAGTGAAGTCCTGCCTTTGGCTTTGGTGGTCTTGTCCCGGTTTGATTTTTTGACTTTAGTGGGCAGCAAATCCGATCCTGCCTAGCGTTCTGTAGAGAGGCCCATTTGGCCCAGCTGTGAAAGCTATGGCTATGCCGCATCTACCAGAAGAACAAAAACATGGTTTGGCATTACAGGTAACTCTCATGAGCAATCATCTGAGCAATGAGTCCATCGCTTCCATGCGCGCCATTTGCCGAGTAAAGCAAAGAGCAGTATGCGAAGTGATATTGCCTGTGCTGGTTCGAGCAACTGCTGATGCAGCATGATGCGAAGCTGTGCTGCATGCGGATGGGAGCTCCAGTTTGGAAGTCCTCCCTGCAGGCAAACCCGGCATATCCCGGCATTCCTCCTTAGCTCGATTTAGTCTGCCCAAGCCACCCTGCCAAGCAATCCTAGCTGAACAACACCGAGGCCAGGTCAAACCCTCTAATGTCAGACCAGAGCAAGCTGGCCCACACCATGACCAAGAGCGCTTTGAAAAGGAACTTGTCATCTGGAAGGCAGGTCAACCCCAACTGTCTCCAAAATGTTCGTTGCCAGATTCGCTGGCTGTTGTGCCGCTCACTGCAAGATACTGCAAGCACTGGGCATGTTCCCGGGAGAAATTGCGGCGCGAGCTCGAGAAAAAATGCTTTTCCTGCGTGGTGATGCCGGAGACACTCCCAGTGCTGTGGTATCTGCGGGCGATCCAGCACGGAGTAGCTCCTTTGGCGACGGACCCTCAGCGAGGAGCAGCTGTTGGACGTCAAGGCCCGCCAAGGAAAGTCGGGTTGAGAGGGTGCCTGGCCAGAGGAGTGGGACTTCCAGCTGGCCGGGTTGTGCGTGAAGTAGATTTTGGAGACCAGCTTCCATGATTCCATGCTTTCGCCATGCCTGCTGGCCATCTGCGCTCGTGGATCGTGTACGGCAAAAACTTCATGGCCCTCTACGTGCACCAGCCTTCGAAGTTGTTTCGGGCACTCGCAATGCAGGACGCCGAGTGGGCGGATCGCATGGATATAAGGAGTCAGCTATGCTTCTGGGGACACGATGGTGGATAGAGATATGTTCCACCACGCGGAAAGGAGGAGTCAAACGCAGCTCGGCCACGAACACCACCTGGACGGCCGCCTGTGCCTCGGAAACGACGAGCCCAAGAACAAGCGGAAGACATTCAGCAAATTCTCCGGGGGTCCGTTAGCCTGTTTGGAACGGAGAAGGTTGGCTGTGGTTGAAGGGCAGTTGCATCAGCTGGTCTCCCAGAACTGTTACCACACTAGGAGCTCTAATCGGCCCTGAATAAGATACCTTGCAGCCTGTTCAGGCATGAGTGCGCCGTTTGCGGAGAGGAGTCGCACGATGCTTCCGCGTGCCCTTGGCAAAGTTCCGGTTAGTCACCCACGCAAAACCTGAGCCGCTTGTGTGTGGCTTTCGTTGCGAGCACTATGGAGCGTCCCAGCGCCGATTCTGTCCCTCCAAGTAGGGGGGTCGTCCGGGCATTAGAAATGGAACAATCAGGATGTGGAACTACACCTGCCGGCGTCCAGTCGGATGCTTGTTGGCGTTATCGAAAAGGCTATGACATAGGCTGTCGTGTTTTGATTCGTGGGATTTGGTGTCGTGTGTGTTGCAAATTGCCCCTTGTCAAACGAGCGATGCCTGGTTGTTTGAGGACAGCATGTGGATCACGGCATGGGCTCGCGGCTGCGGCTCCGCTTCGGACAGACGACTTGTAAGTAGGAGTGGTTGGGGAGGCGCCCCCTTGAGCCAGCCCAGAATAATTGCGACCAACAGTCAGTTGCTCGCCCCTGGGGCTGTGGCCCTTGTAGTTGCTTTGCAGGTATTCAATTCTGCTGAAATCATCTCCGTTTTATGTTAGTGTTTGCCCCAAGAGGGTGGGTGCCCCCAAGGAAGTTGTATCAACGTAGCGTGTGCGCGGGATCTTGGGATTAACTTCTGACGTCTACATAGTTACAATGACCGTGTCGTAGTGTTTTACAAGAGAATTCATGCGTTGAATCCCTAATCGGCGGAGAGAGAGGGAGAGAGAGAGGGAGAGAATCCCTCATGCGGGGTTAAGCTTGGACAGATCAGCCCAACAAGGACTGGGCATTGAAGCCCGGGAGGGTCCTTTGGACCTTCCCATAGCCCGAAAGAAAGAAAGAGAATCCCTCAGAGAAAGCATAGGTGAAAGGCAACAGAAGCGAGTTTCACACAGTTTGTGAACGCCTAGGGATCAGGGAAAGATACGGACTTTTCAGGAAGAGGCAAGGGTATGAGTAGGGTAGTGACAAGTGGTGTGTGATGAATGGTCCCAGGTGACAGAGACAGGCGGGAGAGAGAATGAGGCAAACCATTTCGGAGTCCTGCCAATTGTGCAGTGCGCTGGGAACCTTTCAGCCTCAGTATGTCAGCCGGGAAATGAGGTGTGGTGTGTTGAGCTATGTTGTGTGATGGCGACGTGTGTTGAGTAATGAGCTGTTGGGTGACAACAAGCTGATGTACACTCCAGAACCGCCAAAGCCCCAAGGAACCTCGTCAATGTATGGGGAGGAGGGCTGAAGTATCACAACCCGGTTGAGCAGGGAATGTAGTCACTGGGAATGGAGGATGAGTATAACTA